GGCAATCCCTCTTGATATGATTTTCTCCTCTACAGTAGACGCATGAGTTCCTGGGAGTAGATGGTCTGTCGTCTGCGTCTCTAGAGATCGAACTCCTGGCCGCCTTGGGGTCAGGCGACTTAGGATATGGTTCTGATGAGACGCCATATCCCCCTCTCTCATTCCGTCCGCGCGAATCGTTGCGCCGGTCTCCTCCAGACCCTCCTTGCTCATACCGCCCTCGCGAATCATTCCGGCGGTCCCCCGAGTCATATCGTCCTCGTAACTCATCGCGTCGGTCCCCTCGGTTGTACCATCCCCGCGACTCGTCGCGCTGCTCTCTCGCATCGCCCCCGCGCTCAAACCGTCCGCGCGACTTGTCTCTTCATTCCCAGTCCCGATCTCCTCTCTCATGTGTACTTCCTCTGTAGCCATCTCGACCCGGCCTCTCGTATCTGTCGTCCCTTTATCCATCTCGGTCCGATCTCTCGTATCTGTCGTCCCTATATCCATCTCGTCGGCCCTGTTCTGTCTCTCATCGACCGCGGGAGTCGCCTCTACCCCGATCGACCTCATAGCGGGGGCTTCGCTGGTAATTATCTAGCCTCCTTGCTCGCACAAACAGCTCGCGTTCTCTGCGGTCTCGGTCTATCTCATCGTCCTTACGTCGCCATGATTCATCGTATCTCTCTCTTCCCCTCGTACGATAATCAGTCAGCGTCCGAGGATTTCTATCCTCGACACTCCTCCATGGATCGTTGTTCCTACGGTCCCAGCGAAGTGAATAGGGCCCTCCAGGTTTGCCCCGATAGGCCGTGGCTCCTGTGGCGGTCACAATCTCTGTAACCTGCCTCGTTAATCCCTTCACCATGTCCCGTATCTCCTTCACGTCCTCAGCCACGGCCTCATTTTTCTCCGACCAGGGATAATCCTTGAAATCATGACATATATCAGTGGCATACTCCTTGTARAGAGAGAAGTCACGTCTCCTCATCCCTCTCCACACCAAGTCCTTGTAATCGTCTGCCTCTGCCTTTATCGCGAGCTTTAGGACTTCTGGAAAATCAAGCCTGTCGCGCGGAAGATCTCTAAGTATACTCTTTTGCCTACCTTTGGACAAGTGTCCGATGAACATAGTACAACGCTCGACCTCTGAGATCTTCCCCTTCTTCATCAGCACGTCGGAG